CCTCTCTTCTCCTCAGGTAAAAGCCGTAAAACTTTTCTAGGCTTAGTGTGCTGTGCAGAGATGATGAAAGACTTGCCGTTTCGGTCGGTCCTCTCGCTCATAATTTTGTGGCTGCCTCTAAGCGGTCAAAAACCCCAACTTTTCACATCCCCATCTAAGGAAATGTAGTGTTTTGTGTCCCAAAATTAAGTATTATTTGCATGGGAGTACTGTGAGATCAAAATTGTAAAGTGGGTGAGGAAACGTGCTTAAGGCTTCCCCGTGGGAGAGGAACACTTTCTGATGTGATGACCTTCCAGTAAAGTAGGAAAGACGTACCTTTTACTGAAGATATTATCAGATTTAGTATTAATAAGGTTGTTTTTCAGAATTAATACTATGAGACTCTTACTTGCCCACTCACTGGGTGAAACCTTTCCTATTCAGATGGCTCTATGCTCAAGCGTGTCCTGGAGGACTGAACAACTTACTTGCAATTTTTTTTTTCTTTGAACAAAATCTGTTTTGAACAGTCTTCTAGACTGCTTGCCATGAAGCAACACAACTGGATTTTTGCCCATACCAGAACTTTGGCCTGAAATATTTTTCCTGAAGAAGTGTTCTTCATTTAAATTGACTGCACTGTTGTTTATTCTTAAATTATTAAATTTCTTCCAATTTTTCCAATTTTCATGTGTTGTGATATTAAGTCAATATTTAAATATTGGTCACTGTTTGGAGTTGGGATAGCTTAAGGGTATGAAGGAAGTTTTCATTTCTGTCCCTCACCGAGACAGTGGTATGAGTGAATTCTTTTGCTGAGAATTCCAGCACTTCACATGAATCACCTCATGTAGACCATGGAGACTTCTTAGGACCCAGTATCTGGCAGTAACTGTTAGCTAGATTGTCCTGTAGTTGATTCAGTCAGACCAACAACAGCTCTCATGAACTCACTGACGCTGATTTGGTTTAACAGTATCACTGAAGCATAACTAAAGTAAGACCATCAAATGAAGTGAAATATATGAATTAAAAATTCAGAAGGACTTACCTAGATCATTAATGAAACATACAGGCATTTGGTTCAAATAAAAAAATGCATTAAATTAATATAATTGAAAAGAAAATAATTCATTGGTGTGGTGAATGTCCTTTCTTGTGTTTTCAGAGTTTTCATCTCTGTGCTTGTGTCCATTCACTTTTTTTCTCTAATTCTCGGGGATCTTTATCCTCTGTAGTGCTGACCAGGAGCACTTGGGTACCTGTTCACAATTTAAAGAACATTTAATACCCTTACAGATTTGCCTTCTGCTGCCTAATTTCTCCAACCATTGACTTGTCTGTTTGGATTGCAGACTCTTCCAGGAAGCTGTATGACCCAGTCTTGTTTGATACCTGCAGGTGTTACCACTGTGTTAGTAATTAATACCAACAGTAATAGTGAGCTTTTGCTTAGCCACAGGAGGAAAACTTCCGAGCTGATTTTTGTGATTTGGGTTTTCCTCTATTGGATCTTTAAGTATAAATCCTGCTTTTTTTTTGCTTGTTTGTTATTCATTCATAAATAAGCACACATTACATCAGACTGTTACATTATCTTTTTAAGAATAGATTTCTGGTTTGCACTGGAATGAGATGTCCAAATCATGTATAAATTATTAATAGTATAATTATGTAGTTCTTCTTCTGTATGTGTTGTAAACGTTTGTCCCGTTCTTAGTTTTTCACTTATTTTTCTTTGGTCTCCAGGGACAATCAGACTAGACAAATACAAGATGCTGTTTCAAATGTGGAAAAACATTTTGGTGAATTGTGCCAAATATTTGCTGGATATGTACGTAAAACTGCCAGACTACGAGACAAAGCAGATCTTCTAGTAAATGAAATATATGCATATGCAGCCACGGAGACACCAAACTTAAAAGTTGGACTGAAAAACTTTGCAGATGAATTTTCCAGACTTCAGGATTATCGCCAGGCAGAGGTACAAAATTAAAGCTGTACATGTTGTGTTTGCCATCTGAACTTTTCAGTTACTTATCTGTGATTAAAAGGGAAAAGATATGCTCTGCAATCATGAGAGAAATATAGGAGAAAACACTTAAATATATTAGTGGCAAAGCAGCATAGGCTGCCAAAGCATTCATCATTTACTCCGCTAATAACTTTAGTGAAAACTGCCTGTAATTAGTCCTGTTGAAGTCAGTGAAACTATCCATATAAGCACTCACAGAATTTGAGACAGAGCAGCTCTTTTATTGGTCTTAGACTTTGGGTTATGATTTACGGTTAAGAAAATGTTCTTTTAGTGTTGTGACTTGAGTTGTCTAGCAGCAGCTGAAGTAAAATCAGTCTTTTTCCTTTTGGTGAGTCTGTTATCAGAAGCAGTATGGAAGAGAATACTAACTGGAATCCTTCACTGGGCACTGACAGCCCCTCTGAGGTGCCTTTGGGGACCACTGTAGATTTTTGTAAGTCTGTCGTACAATACTAAAAGTACAAACTTGATTTGGACCATGTGTGACAATATAGTCACATTTCTGCTAGATAAGTGAGAGTGTAAAGAAAGGTGTTTATGCCACTTGCACATCTATGGGCAGGGCCAGTCAAGCTGTAACTTATGATCTAGCATTCCAAATGCTGAGATTTAAGAAAAAATAAATTCACTCACATGTACTGAAACTAGTTTTCGGAGTACATATCTATTCTTTCAGTAGGGCATAGAGGATTCCCATTTATAGTTTTAAAAAGCGAAGAAACGTAATTTAAAAAAGAGACTAAAGCAGTTGACATTCTTGATGTTTTCAGATAGGACTTTTTTTTTAAAAAAAACATTGCAAGTTGTTTTTCTATATTAGCGAAGTAGAAAAAGAAAACCTTTTAAAATAAGTTAATCTATGAGATATTTGGTCTACTAAATAGATGGTTTGAAAAGCAAGAAATATGCATGGATCTTTAACAATGTATTTGGGGCCAGATTTTTAAGAAGTAATAAGAAATCCGAGGGTGCAGATAGTGCAATTTTTAATTTTTTCCATAAATTTCCATAATTTTTTTCCAAAAATTCAATTTTTTCTTATGCGTCTGGCTCCAGCTGAGACACACGTAGGTCTTTATGCTTCAAGTGATGTAATAGCAATTTATCCCTCTGTTAATAGGGTAAATTTATATTATGGCCAAAAGGTGTATGTGAAGTCAGACTCCATGATCTCTCTGTCCATTTTCACCTTTAAACTATGAATCTGTAATTTTGAGGTACCTATGTAACAACTTGCAGTTTGCTTCTTTCGATTTTTAAGTGTGTTTTTAAAAACTGACATTTGGCCTACATCCTCCTACCATGCCTGTCCCCAAACCACCACTGCCCTTTGAAGGAGAAAAAGCAGCAGCAGCAAAGGAAAAGAGAAGCTTTTAGCCTTTAAATCAAGTTCTCCTTTGCTCATGAAAACCAAATAGGTAATCTCAGCTTTATTTCTTTTGGGCATAAGGTTAATTAACAGTTTTCATATATATTGACAACGTGGGCAAGAGAAAATTAGCTTATAAGGGTTATCGATTTCCGGTCTTCAGCTGCAGTGCTAGATATATAAATGCTGAGGTGTGAGGTACTTCCACAACATGTGGAAGGGTAAGTAAGGAAGACAGGCAGTTTATTTGGTATGTCTATATCATGTGCTTCATTTAGAGCCTTACTGCCCTATTCCATTCTATTTTATTGGTAGTTTTAAGTGAAATTGATTGACAGTGCACTGGTGGAGCATAGTAAAGGAGAAATGTTTGCTCAGCTGGCATAGGTTTTGGCTGACTGGTGACTGCCAGTTTAGAGGGGAGTGTAATGTCTGTCTCTTCCTAGTAGAGGTATGCACCTTGTCCTAATTTGGACATAAAAGCAATGGGCCAGATGAATTATTGGTCCAAAGTCATCGGCAGCTTATGCTGGGGCCACTTGGGCAGTATTGTCAGTTTTGACAAGCAGACATGTCTTACCCTATTGCCTGTCTGACCATACGTAGCTGCTTTTCTAACTAGAACTGAAACAAAATTAAGATGCAGTCATCTGTGAGAGCATTCAGGCATTTTACCCAACCTGTTTTTGGTATTTTTAATATTTTCAGTACCTACAATGCTGTTTCTGTTATTTTTAAGAACAGAAGTGTTGCATTTCGTACCGTACGTTTGATAGCAAAGATGGCTTAGTCCATAATGGACCTGTTGGTGTGAGTCCAGAGGAGAGCCACAAAGATGGTCAGAGGGCTGGAGCACCTCTCCTATGAAGACAGGCTGAGAGAGTTGGGGTTGTTCAGCCTGGAGAAGAGAAGGCTGCGAGGAGACCTTATTGCGGCCTTCCAGTAGGTACTGGAGGGCCCCCTGAAGGGGGCCTACAGGAAAGCTGGAGAGGGACGTTTTACAAGGGCATGTAGTGATAGAAGAAGGAGTAATGGCTTTAAACTGAAAGAGGGTAGGTTTAGGTTGGATATAAGGAAGAAGTTCTTTACTGTGAGGGTGGTGAGGCACTGGAACAGGTTGCCCAGAGAAGCTGTGGATGCCCCATCCCTGGAAGTTTTCATGGTCAGGTTGGATGGTGCTTTGAGCAACCTGGTCTAGTGGAAGGTGTCCCTACCCATGGCAGGGGGGTTGGACAGGGTGATCTTTAAGGTCCCTTCCAACCCAAACCAGTCTGTGATTCTATGATGATCTATCAGCGAGTGTAGAGCAAATACATTGATCTTAAACTTTAGATAGAAAGCTACAGATCTCCAAGATGCAGTGTTTGATATATTTAGTACTCAGTTAGAATCTCCGTGTTTTATTTATCCTGATGTATTTCCAATGAAGAAAAAGGAATTCCGCTAGAAATCAGCTTGAGCTCCTCAAAATACAAATGATTTACTGGTTAATTTAATTGACTCTGGTTTTTGCCATATTTTTAAAACCTCCATCCCACTATATTTTCAGCATATATGGACTAAATTCCTAATAAGATAAGTTACTAGTAAATGAATTGTTTCCTGTTTCTGCACACCATAGATGTGGATGATTTTAGTGACCTTGTGTTTTCTTTTGTAGGTTGACAGGCTTGAAGCCAAGGTTGTTGAACCTCTGAAAAGTTACGGGACCATAGTGAAACTTAAAAGGGTAGGTTAAACGTCTCTTCTCTTTTCTCACAAGGTACGTTTTGGTGTTCTGGCTGCTCAGTTGAAAACTTCTACTTTACAGGGGGGAATGGTTCTAATTTTTCACATTGCAGTAATCAGTCTGACTAAATTATATAGTAATACATCTGAATTGAAGCTATATATATGTTAGAGAAAAAGCTTTGATGTGAAGACAAGGATATTCAGACTCTTGGAGCACAAGCAAATGCTAGAAAAAGGTATTGTGGACAGTGTGAAACTTGCTGGATAGTGCAAATTCAGGCCTTTTTCCTTGATAACGTCATTCTCTATTATTATTATTCAGAGTTCCAAAAGGTGAATTACATGTAATGCTTTTGGCTCTTAGTCACATATATGCTGCCTTTAACAGCTTTTCTAACTTAGAAGGGCATTCTACATTGAAGTTCATAATGTAGAAGACACTTTTTGAAACTGTTGAATAGGTTTTAGCCTGAATCCCTCTCTGTCTGGCAAAGTCATCAGGATGACCTGAAGATACACAAAAAACCCGAGGTCTCTTCATTCACTGTATGCTGGAAACAGTGTATATAGGTGTTTGAAATATTCCCGCAAAGTATCTGTAAATTTCTTTCCTCCAGGAGGGATAAGCTTGAGCAAGTAAATTTTAATAAGCAGGTACTAGCTTACAGTATGAAAGTAGTTCTTCGTAATACTTGTATATTACATAGAGGATACCTTCATCCTGTAAACTCAAATGTGTAATTAATGTATATATCTGTATCATAATCTATATCAAAAGGTAAAATGATCATTATTTGATGGTATTTTACATACAAAAATTTTACAGTGTGTTCATCATGGTTAATCTGAGTACATTGTGGTATTGCATCTCAAACTAGCATTTTTCATATGTTCTTATTCTCGTATCTTTTCAACACAGTGAGGAACCGAGTACAGTGTTTGAAACTTACTGCATAGCTCTCTCACTTGGTTGTTAGAGAAACAATTATGAAGGAAATGCATCCTGCACTTGAGCGGTACTACATGTGGTAGTCCTTAGCAGAGCTGTAGACTATAGAGCCTGTATCCTAGAATTTGATATCTTAATAGTCACTCTGAAACTCAGTTTGTGAGACCTAGAACTTGACTGAGTATTCTATAGGATATAAATGTTGAGGGTGGAGGACAAGTTTCATGTGTTTATGGCAATAGTGTTGCTGAGGAGACACACAGCAGTAACGCAGTGCTTGGGGCTTCCAAAGCATTGAAGATGCTGTCTTGAGGTGCATTGCCACTGATAGCCAGTAAATGCTGAGGACAAAAGCAACTGAAGAAGCCAGGTCATCCCTTGCAACAGTGAATCGCATTTCCTGTTGTCTTTGTCCTTCAGAATGCCAGAAAGCATTACGTAATGTTTATCTTGGCTACTGTAAGGAGTACAAGAGCATTCTTAAACTGTAGATGGGATTAACTGTTTTGTTAACGTACCTTTCAACTAGGAGAGACTTCACTAAAGATGTAGGCTGTTAAATGATTTTATTTTTCCCCCCTGCCCACTACTATAAACCTTGGTTAAAACTTCAACTCTCTGGTCTTCAGTTATCATCTCTAAACAGTGGGACATTTTTAGTGAAAAAGAAAGTTTTGTCACTCATGTAAAGCTAGCCCAGGGTGCTAGTTGTAGGACTGCCTTACCTGTAACTGTATTAACTGATTAAGTAAAACCAGGCAGAATATGTCATTATAGCACTTTTCTAAAAGGACATGTTCTTGCTGCTACTTATTGGATCTGTTCCAGGGTGTACACAAACTATTTTTGTGCTGTATCTAAAAAGAACTGTTGCTATTTCTGTGGGGTAAGACATCAATGTCCTGTGATACTAAATGCTTTAAAGAGGCCCAGGTCAATCAGAATAGTGTCATCCTTTAACTGCTAATGCAGTAAAATTGTTTCATTCACTTGTGCCAGTTTACTGTGCCAAGTAGCTCTCTGGGGCAGGATTTGGCAGCTTCAGTGGAAGCTACTATAATATTCTTGTCCTGTAATGCAGCTTAAATACAGGATTTTAGGAATTCTTTCTGTTTCATTGCTCTATATACCAATCTTCACTTTTCTGCTTTTTGGCAACTCTATTCCTGGTTCCCTTTCTTCATATAAAACAGGACATCATAAAACCAAGGTGATCCACCTGCAGAAGAAAGGATTGGTTTGCTTTAATAACTTCAGTGACTAAAGCAGGTAACAGTACAGTGATGAGGAGCTGCCAGTTCATTGTCTGGTGATGGACTGTAGCTGTACTTCTGTATGGTTTGAAATTAGATGGCTGACCAGAGTTCTTATGTGTGACTTGAATTCATAGTTTAAAGCCAGAGGGACTATGAATAATTCTATATTCTCTGTACCTGTCCTTTATCTCACTGGCTATTACATTCCATTCTATCTCTCCTTGGGTGTAATTAGAGCATGTTTTCCAAAAACATTTCAAATCTTGGTCTGAAGACACTGGGGAGGAATGTAGGACTGTTTGTGGTCATTGGTGGTTAGTTGATGTTTGTGGTGTTTTGTTTTAAATGAAAGACTTCACCTAATCTTTGGTTCTTGTTATATGTTCCACTGAGTTTAAAGAGTTCTGCAATGCTCTATGTTTTTCTGGATGAAGGTATTTAGATGCTACTAGAACCCATTTTTCATTCTTTTCAGAATTCTTTCACCATAATGGCATTTTCCCCAGCTTTTGAATTTTTTAAAATTTTTTCTTCTGCACCCTTTTCAGTTTTTCAACATACTAGACAAAATGTGTATGTAACTGTGGCCTATCTTTGTACATCCAAAACGTGTATATAGCTCCACCACTATAGCCACAGTAGCACCAAACCTTTGTCAGGCTTTGGCTAGCAGAGAAGTATCTTTGATGGCTGTTGTTGCTACTGAGAACAGAGATAGAGAAGGGAACAGTGCAGTCCCCGTAGGTATTTCCAAAGTCTAGAAAGAAAATACTGAATTTTATAATGGTAACTCAAGTATGCTTTGCATGAAAGTCAGAACCCCTTCAGCCACAGCGTTAAATCTGATTGACTGTTTTAAATGGGTCTAGAAAGTCAGTGCTGTTAACAGTGCTCAGTCATTAAGTAACACTAAACATGCAGCTGTGACCATTAGATACAAAACTTCTTTGTTCTATGGCAAAAATAAATGTTTTTCTCTTCTTTTTCTCTACCTTTAATTTAAAATGTAAAGCAATAAAACTGTTTTTCTATTATTGCTTTTCTTGCAGCTGCATGGTTTTCATGAAGGAGAAAGCCCTTTCCAGCAGTCTTTCAGATGGCTTTAAAGGTGGTGTAAATTCCATTTTGAAAGAACAGCAGCAAAATTAGTTTTGATGGGCTAAAGATGCAGTTGTTTTTATTATCACAAACCAGCTCTGTGTCCCTAAAGATGAAGCAAAATGACAGTCATGTACACAAGGACATACAAACAGACAGTAAGGATAGAAACAAGGAAGAAACTGCGTGTTTTGATCCTGACCTCATGTACAGACTCATTATTGAAGAAACACAGCACTCTGAAACTTGGCTTGCTTGTGCTTGTCATTGACTAGTGATCTGGTCACAGGATCACAGAACTTTTTGTAAGAGACACATTCTTGGTTGCATGTCTTTCTGGGTGAAGGAGGCCTAAACCATGTTAAAATTCTGAAATCCAGGGAAGGAGCACAGACAACTTCCCAAGATTAGAGTTTTTAATAGCTTTAATCCACTCTGTTCTGGAGTGGTAGATAAATGGGAACTGGTGTTTTTAGAGGAAGCGATGGTTTGAAATACATGCCCAACTCCTGCCTCAGATTTTGTTAGACTGGTTCCTTTGGGCTGTATTTCTGCTTGTTCTAAGGTACTGTTCCTTTAAATTAGAGCCATCCAAATTAATGTCATTTCCCATACCAGGGTCAACGGAGTGATAAATATCTGACTGACAATTTTAGATTCCATGTATGCCAAACTATTTGTAAAACACAGTTTTATAGCATGAACAAGAATTTGAGAGTGGTATGTAAACATTCTTAAATTGTCACAGATCTTCCTAGAAGTACATCCTACTTCTCCTTTGGAAATGAGGAGCAAAAATATTTATCAATGGTTTCTGCCTTTTCTATATCAGTAAGTTTCATCTTCTCCAGCTACATCATTACTAGGATGTATTTTGCTCCAAATGTATTTAAACACCTTACTAGCTGCATATATAAATATGCAGTGTAACCCTTTCAGCCATGGATTTTCTATGGCACCTCAAACTCTGTGTAGCAGTTTCGAGTTCTTCATAACTTCTGATTGGTACTGACTGCTGCCTGTTTTGTTTTTTTCTTACCAATTTATTTGATGCCGCTCTTTATTTCTAAATGCCACCTTTATTCCATGGCTAAGCCTGGAATGGGCCTGTCTTCTTACTGCTTTGGGGATCTCAGCTTTTGACCATCTACTGTACTTTTCATGAAAAGCTGTAAATATCTTTTTCTTTTTTTCCCCACATTTTAAATTATAGTGTGTGCTACAGAGAGTTGTGCAAGGTGCTGAACTCTTTTGGTCCCCATTGACTTCTCTTTCAGGGGACCATTTAACACGATAAGATCAGTAAAATCTGGTTTTGCTTAAAGCAGAAGTTTTGCTCATGCTTTCTAAGCAATGCATTAGAAGAAAAATGCATTTTGTATTATCCTAGATGTATTTCATACATGTCTAAAACATTTTATTTCCAGGATGATCTTAAAGCAACTTTAACAGCAAAGAACCGAGAAGCCAAGCAATTATCTCAACTGGAAAAGACACGTCAGCGGAATCCATCAGATCGACACATTATTGTATCCTGTATTTCTAGTGGCTATAAGAAATATTTTTAAAATTTCTCGGGAATTAAACTATTGTGTTTAGAAAGTAATAAGAGAAGAACACTCTTTAGAGGGACTGTTTCCTATGTTGATGCTGAATCTTTTCATAATCTTTATGATGAGTTACAGCTTGTAATAGCTGCTTTGTTACTCACTCCCTTTTTGATTGAAAAGCAACTATAAAGTATTTGATATGTTTATGCAAGAGAGGTAGGCATAGATTGCATCTAGGAATTTGGATGTTTTTGAAAATAAGTGTAATCAGAGAACTCCCTTTTTACTTCTGTGGATTTTTTGGTTTATTGTTTTTCTCCCTGTCATTTTGATAGTTGTTGTGTTTCCTTGTACCTAGATGGGGCATGAGTTTCCTCCAGCTGTGAGCTGAAGTATGAAAGGAAAAGTTGTTATTCTGTTAGTAGAATACTCAACCAGACTACTCTTCCTTTCAAAAGACCAGTGACCCTCCCCAGTATACTATTCTGTATCACAGAGGGAAAAATTAAGCCTCCACAGAATTTCCATTACAATCTCACTGAAGTTTCAAATTCTGAAGCAATCAGAATCTAGAAATGCCAAAATAAAGGGAATCAAGGCAATCCTACTTCAGTCCCTTTATGCCTATGTATTATGATACAGTATTTAAGTTCATGATGATGTGCTGTTTATTTTTTCTTACACTCCAGCATTGGACTCGAGTGAAGCAGTCCTATTCTTTGTAGGATTTCATCAACTTTATTTCAAAAATCAGGATCTTTCTAGTGACTGGGGCATGGGACTGCAGAAGGAACAAAAATGACTGTGATGGTCAAATGCCACCCAGGAGAATTACTTTTGGGTTTGTCTCTGTCAAAGAATTCCCATTTAATATTAATCGAATCAGTTAGAACAAGTCATGACTAATTAAAAGAGTTCCTCATGTAATAAGGACACACGGATGTCAGCCGTAGGGTTAGAACTTGAGCTGCGATGCAGAGTTCTCTTCCATTAGAATTAAGAGAGTAAATGATGACAGTAAGCTGTTCTCCCCAGAGGGGGACTGGTCCCATTTTTCTCCCTCTTGCACTAATTCCCAGTTGATTTCATGGGTATATGACTGGCACCTAGCTTGTTTCTTCTTGTCTCTTTGCTAAGCTACTCCCAAATATCCTTCTGTGGCTTAGCTTCTTGTAACACCTGTGTTTTCTGTACTTAAGACTTTGCCTGAAGAGTTATTAAATCTCAGTACAGTCTGGTTTTGCATATGGCCAGAGGCACCAAATGCTACATATTTGCATTTTAAAGTGATCAACACAAAATGCATAAAAAGTATTTGGAGCAGGAATATGTTCATTTGCTTTTGAGGATGTATGCAGGTCAGCTTTTAGGTCTGAGAGAGGCTTCATCATGTTTCTTAGCATAGCTGTGAGGCTCCAGCAATGGTTGTTCTCTTATTCTTGAGCAACTGTAATGTTTCAGCAGCTAACAACTTTAGCCAGAGATAGCAAAGGATCTCTACTCACTCCCAGATTTCAAGTCCATCTTATAAAATGTGGGAGTAGTACAGCTTTGAAACCAAAATCTTACCAGATTTTTTTTTAAATACAAAAATGCATTTTTTTTAAATCAAAATAGATTTTTTTTTTCTGAAATGGTCTACCTAGGTTGTCTGATTTTTTTTTTTTTTTTTTTTAAATAAATAAATAAATAACCAAACCCTCAGTCCAAGACAAACAGCTGTCCTGAAATATTTTGGCCTGGATACTTGAATTCTAGCAAAGCTATAACAAACTGCAAGTAATGTCTTACAGCAGGAAGCTTCAGCCAACATAATAATAGCACCCTCAAAGTATACAGAAGTTTTGAAATATCTGAGGTAAATACTTCACAATGTATTAAAAGTAGAAGTGCAAACAGATACTTTCATGAATATTGATTGTTATTTTGCCACTTTTTCCTTTACTAATATTTGCAGTCACAGGTGAGTGTTTCAGAAGAGAAAATAACTGCCATTGTGCAAACTATGCAGGTTCTGCAAGTTTAGACATCTCACTCTACAACAAACAAATTCCTTTCCCAACACATCTGCGCACAAAATCTGGCCCGTCTATTTAAGATGGATTGAGAAGATATATTTGATTTATCATAGAAATAACATACTGTATTTGTATGTGTAATGGCTGCTTATGCATAACAGCTGCCTTCATTTACAGAGAGTGACTGAGTGTAGTAATTGAGAATACACAAAAATGTCTTTTCTTGCTCGTTTCCCTCCTGTGTTTTGGGCAAAATCAAGAAAGGGAGACGAACATGTGACCTTATGTACTACTAAAGATCATTAACTAGTTTGTTTGCCCAGTTAATGGCAGAATTGTGTCTATGACTTTAAGCCATTTTTGTAAGGAGATTGTTTCAAATTTATAATCCTGTAATATAAGGTTACTAGATTTTAATCAAAGAACAAAAAGTGACAGAACATGCCTTATGCCCTAGGTTTCCATATACATATAACACTAAAAACTAGATCACGGGAACTAGGCCTGTGGTTTCTATTTCCATTTTTAGAAAAAAAGTTCCTCAAGTTGTGGTGTTGTAGAAATGGGAGAATCCTGTGTCTTGATCATAGGATACAATTACTTGATCCATATACTATTTCCAAATCCCAGGACAGGATAGATTCCTGATGATACTCACTGACAACCTGTAAGTAAATACTGTCTTGACTAGTCTATGATGTTTGACCAATAATGTATGGAAAATAAAATAAGTTTAGACTCAAATTCTGCAGTCTTCAAGTGCAAGCTCTTACATCTTTACATCATTATTTTGTAATAGTACACAGTTCTCAGACTTTACTTAACCAGAATAGCTTCAGTATCTTTATTTAAATGGTAGTGTGCATTTTTATACAGTTCATAGTTATATCTAATTAAAATACATATCTAAAATGCTTTTTTGTAGTAACAAAATAAGAAAAACTGCATATTTATGCATTAGGGATTGGTTGATGTGTCCCCTTCCCAGTGCCCTGTTGAAGATGTTTTTTATAAAATATTTTAATAATATAAAAATACTAA